AGGTAGTGCTGGGCTGAGAGACTAGTGTCTGAGGTTCAGTCTTGGAGGTCTTCATGGAGGAGGTAGTGCTAGACAATAGTTTTGTGTTGAAGAAGGATAAATACTTGGGAACGGGGTCGGTGAGGAGAGTATTACCTGTTTGGGTAATGTGGGTCGGGGCACGGGGACATGAAAGGTGTGCAGTTTTAAAGCTCACCACCACCACCGTCCCGGATGCCACGTGGGACTGGGCGTGTTGGGAGGAGGCAAGTCCAGTGCTGAAGGGGGTGGGTTTGGCATGCCAGGGAGAGCAGGCTATGGTCTTCAGGGGAGCAGCCCTGTCCTGTCTCCACTTTGGCTCACAGCCCTGACGAGCCCCCCTCTATGCCCCCCTTTCCCTCCCCCCCGTGGACCCAGGAACACTGCGTCCACGAATGTCTCCTCTCACGTTGTACTGAGCAGCACACACAGCCCAGTTTCCAGCACTGCCTGGGATCCCCATGCCAGACCTGTTTATGTGGGGGCTGGGAGCCCCCTCAGACTCTTGGGCCCCTGAGCGCAGACAGCGACTCTGGGCTTTAGGGTGGGTTCCTGGCTCTGGAGTCCCCCCCACCCCACACCTCCCACCTCCCTGTGCCCCCTTCCTGAGGGCCTCGGTCCCACCTGTGGTGTGAGGAGGGCAGGACACCGAGTGAACATACACAAAGGGCAGTGTCCCCGAAGTAACCCTCAGAGGTGGGCACCCAGGCAGCCTAGGGGTTCACTTGTCAGGCTGAGCCTCAGTTTCTCCATTAGGTGGGGGCGGTTGGTCTCTTCTTCCTGTCTTATTCTGCCTTCCTTTGCAAATAAATAATAGTAATGATTGTGGTTATTTAACATCGGGCAGAGGTTACGCACTCAGGTGTGACCAAAAGGTTGGCGGTTTGAACCCACCCAGAGGCTCCACAGGAGAAAGACCCAGCAATTTGTTCTCGTAAGAATGACAATTTAGGAGACTCACGACGACAATCCATATAGCACAGAACTTGCCATTGGGACGTTCTGACATGTGCCATTCAGTGGTATTAGTCACATTAGTCATGGAGTGCTAGGCCCATCAGTGATCAATTGCAGCTGTTCCTGTCATTGATAACAGTATTGGCACACCTCGTATTCCATCACGCTGACAGGATTCATTCACTGTGAATGGTCACTTCCCAGCCCCTGGAAGCGCTAAGCCACATTCTGTCTGTGGGTTTGTAGGCTGCTAAAGCCAAAGGAGCTCTGGTAGCGTAGTGGTTACGAATTGGGCTGTGAACCTCAAGGTCAGCAGTTCGAAACTACCAGCTGTTACGCCGGAGAACAATAAGGCTTTCTGCTCCTGTAGAGATTTGCAGCCTAGGAAACTCTGTACGGGGTCACTATGAGTGAGAACTGACTCCATTGCACAGAACCACCACCACCAAACACTGCAAGGTCAGGGGTTCAAACCCACCAGCCGCTCTTTGGAGAAAGAGGAGGCTATCGGCCTCCGCTAAGATTGACAATCTCAGAAACCTTAAGAAGAGGTCTCCGTGTCCACCTACGAGTCAGAATCTACCCATCGGCAGTGCCCCTGGGGCCCAGGACAAGAGGGGAAACCGAGGCTTAGGATGGGCGATGAAAGTCCATTTGGGGATGAGGAACCAGGAGTCCAAGGGTCCTCTGGCTGGTTATAGAGGCTCCGAGCCTGCTCACCAACTGTCCCTGTCCCCACAGGCTGCAAGATCAAGGCTCTGCGTGCCAAGACAAACACCTACATCAAGACGCCGGTGCGTGGGGAGGAGCCCATATTTATTGTCACTGGTCGTAAGGAGGACGTGGAGCTGGCCAAGCATGAAATCCTCTCAGCCGCTGAGCACTTCTCCATGATCCGCGCCACACGCAGCAAGGCCCCGGGGCTGCCCGGCGTGGCTCAGGGGCCCCCCAACCTGCCGGGCCAGACCACCATCCAGGTGCGCGTGCCCTACCGCGTGGTGGGACTGGTGGTGGGCCCCAAGGGCGCCACCATCAAGCGCATCCAGCAGCGGACGCACACCTACATCGTCACCCCTGGCCGTGACAAGGAGCCGGTGTTCGCCGTCACGGGCATGCCAGAGAACGTGGACCGTGCTCGCGAGGAGATCGAAGCCCACATCACGCTGCGCACCGGCGCCTTTACCGACGCTGGCTCTGACAGCGACTTCCACACCAACGGCACGGACGTCTGCCTTGATCTGCTGGGCGCCGCCGCTGCCAGCCTCTGGGCCAAGGCCCCCAACCCCGGGCGACGGCCCTCCGCAGCCACAGCCGGCCTGCGTGGGGACACGGCCTTGGGCACCTCCGGGGGCCCCGAGGCCTTCTATTCGGGCAGCCGAGGGGGGCCCCCAGTGCCCGACACGGGCCCCTCTAGCCCCTATGGCAGTTCGGGTAACAGCAGCTTCACCTTCGGAGGGGACGGCCCTGGGGCCCCCGCGGCAGGTCCCACTGCCCCGGAGGATTGTGACTTTGGTTTCGACTTCCTGGCATTGGACCTGACCGTGCCAGCTTCGGCCACCATTTGGGCCCCCTTTGAGCGTGCTGCCCCCCTGCCAGCCTTCAGTACCTGCTCAGCCGTCAATGGGGGGCCACCCGCCCCCAGCGCCCGCCGCCCCAGCGGGACGGGCACCCCACGACACTCACCCACGCTTCCCGAGCCGGGGGGCTTGGGCTTGGAGCTGCCTCTGGCTCGCCGAGCTGCCCCGGACCCAGTGGGCGCCCTGCCCTGGCTGCCCCCACAGGGCTCACTCACACCCTTCTCAAACAGCTGTGGCTTTTCGGCCACCACCTCCACGCTGCCCAGCGACACCTCGACCTCCAGCCAGGACTCAAGCGCCGCTCCCGAGAGCAGCCGCAAGCTGGTGGCCCCGGCGGTCTCGGCCACAGCGGCCACTGCAGGCACGTCTACGGCGCGCGAGTGCGTGGTGTGCGCCGAGGGCCAGGTGATGGCCACGCTGGTGCCCTGTGGCCACAGCCTGTTCTGCATGGACTGTGCTCTTCGCATCTGTGGCAAGAGCGAGCCCCAGTGTCCAGCCTGCCATACGCCAGCTACTCAAGCCATTCATATCTTTTCCTAGCCGGGGGGGCCCGGGGTGTGGCTGGCGCACCGCTGCCTGCCGGGTGGGGGGCGGGGGTGTCCAGGGGCTGGGGGGACAGTGGGAGTGGGCAGCGCTCACCTGTGTTGACGAACAAGCTTTAACTCCTTCCCAGGTGTGGAGGCTGCAGAGCGACAGACCAGCTCTGTGACCGCGCTCAACCGCTAACAGTATTGCGTCCATCGGTTCAAATAAACCAGAAAGAAAAAGTCCTTTTTGCACTTTTTATTTAAGATACTTCCCCACACTACCCGTGACCTTTTTTAATAAAACAACAACAAAGTTTTCTTTTTTTTTTTTTTAAAACCACTTTCAGCTGTTCTTTTTGTAAGCAGCAGTTTTCTGGTTCAACGGCGTTTGTTTTCCTAAAGGCCGTAGCAACAATGTTTTTAACACCTTTTTCGGGACCGACCCATCACGGATTTTGTACATCAGACTCGCGGGGCTGGAGTAGGGAGGGCGGGGGTCCATGGGGGTCCAGAGATTTCTACCTTTTTTTAATTATTAATCCCCTCTATTGGTTTCTGTTGTCGGTTTTTACCTTTTTTTAAAAAATGTTATTTTTGTTTTTATTTTTTACCTCTTGTGTATATTTAGGGAATTTATAGGGAAATATGTACTTTATGGAATAAATTTTAAGAACTTAAATATATTTTATTTTAAGTAAAATAATGGACCTTTGACCTTACAGCTAAATCACTGATTATATATATTTACTGAGCCGACTTAAGGGTAAAGAATATTGCATCAAGAGTTTTATTTTTTTGACTTCAAAGCCTTCTTAATAAAGTCTTTTTACTATATGAACTCACAGGCTTGGCGTGGTGTGTGTGAGGCGAGGGGGGAGGGGGAGTCAGGGTGGGAGACATCTTGAGCCAGGATGGAATGTGCTCAGAGCTAGAATTGAGGGGCGCTTGGGGCCAGGATGGGAAACCCTACAATCTGGGTCCCACTGCCCCATTGTCCAGACCCCTTGGCACCCTAACCTTGACTCTTCTAGCTCATGGACTCACAGCAAACTCAGTCTTGCTCCCGATGAGGGGATGGGCCCAGCCAGACCCTTCCTGGGACTCAGTCCCCACATCCCAGGCGGAGGAGGGGCCCTCTGAGGGACAGCCATGCCAAGCAGAGTCAGGCTGTCCACTCCAGCGTCTGTCCCTTGCTGTGGAGCAGGAAGCCCTGCCCAGTAGGACAGGTTAAAGGCCAGGACATAGCTGGAACCGGAGGCTCCCAATTGGCCCTAAGGGGGACAGAGCAGGTCCACAGGCTTCACCCCCTTCCTGGGTCTGGTAAGAGGGACAGAGAGTCCGGGGGGGCGGGGATACAGGTGCTGAGGTCAGTCATCAGGATTAATGTCCCAGATGAGGGGTTGTAATGACAGGGTTAGGGGACCTGGCCTAGGGATGTGTGCAGGGAAGGGCACTGAGGGGCAGAACTTGATAGAAAGGGTTTTCTGAACAAATAGATTCAGAGAGGGATAGATCCCCCAGTGAAGCTGCTTGACTGCTACCTAAAGGGTTGATGGTTTGAGTCCAACCAAAGGTACCTCAGAAGAAAGAGCTGGTGATCTTCCAAAATCATCAGTGTTCAAAGCCCTAAGGGAGCACAGTTCTGCTCTGATACACACACACATACGTGAGCTGTTGTGAGGCACGTAAGTTCCGTGTCTTGAGATGTCAGGTGTAATGTGTAAGATTTTTTTTTTTTTAAAGGCCAGTTTCTGTGACTACTGGACACATCTGACCAAGAGCCTGCTTGGTAGGAGAGTGGGGCCGGAGCAGCAACATGCCCAGAAACAGGTCCTGGTCAGAGTGACCCACACACAAAGGAGCAGGCAAAGACCACCGAGAAGAGGAGACTTGTAGGCAGTGTGGATGGCAAGCTAAAGGCCTCAAAGACGTTCCTGCCCTGGTCTTGGGAACCTGGTGCCTGAATAGGTCAAGGGAACCTGCAGACAGGCAGCATGAGGTTCTTCAGGTGGGAGATGATCCTGAGTCACTCAGGGGGCCCATGTGATCGCAGGGTCCGTATCCAAGGGAGACAGGGGCGTAGGAGTCAGAGCAGGAGCTGTGAGGACGGAAGCAGAGAGAGATTGAGGCTGGAAGACAGTCCACCTCTGGTTATGAAGGCGGAATGGGCCACGGGCAAGGGCCGTGGGACCTCTAGACACGTGAACAGGCAGGACATAGTTCTTCCTGGAGCTTCGGGAACAAAGCGGCCCAGCCCACACCTCAGCTGTAAGATTTCTGACTCCACACCTGGAAGCTAATGAGTCTGTGCCGTTGAAACCACCAAACGCCCCGTGATGTGTTTCAAAGGCAACAATCAGGCTAACAGCTGTGTTAGAAGTTGCTCCAACTCTGCAGAAATGCCTTGATTGCAGAGCTGTTATTGTAGGGGAAATGACAAGGTAAGTCTGCAGTATTTTGGGGTGTCAGAAAGTTCAAGAAATGCTTTAAAAAGACCCCACAATGATAGGGGTATACCAGAGGGGTCTAAGAGCTCCCAATGGCTAAAGCTGGAACCGTTTGTCCTTGGAACCTAGTGACACTTGGGCATCAGATAAACCGTCATCATTTTGGGTGGATAGTATGTCCTATGCAATATTTAGCACACACATATACTACAAATTGTGTGGTTTCCCTGGAAGTCAAATTTAGCTGGGCATCCTGTATATAGATGTAGTTTTACAAAACCTGGTGACTCAATGAGGCGCCCTGATGGTGCTGGAGGATAAGCACTGGACTGCTAACTGCAAGGTCGGCAGTTCAAACCCGCCATCCGCTCCACGGGAGACAGACTGAGATTAACATAACAGTCTCAGTAGCCCTTTGCCAGGTCGCTCTGAGTTGGAACCAACCTGATGACATGCAACAACAATAAGGAATAGGGGAGGACATTGTTGTCGTTGTTGAGTTCCGCTGAGTTGCTCCTGATTCATTGTGACCATGTGTGACAGAAGAGAAGTGCCCCAGAGGGTTCTCGTGGCTGTCATCTTTATTCCCGAAAGGAAGACCAGTTAATATGACTTTTATTCAAATTGATGCACCAACCATTAAAGCCAGTGATGACCACGTTAAAAAATTCAACCAACTTCTTCACTCTGAAATGATCAAACATGCAATCAAGATGTATTGATAATTACCGGTGATTGGAACACAAAAGTTGGAAGAATCAGCCTTTGGAAAATATGCCTTTGGTGATAGAAATTATGTTGGAAATTGCATGATAGAATTTTACAAGACCAGTGACTTATTCATTGCAAATATCTTTTATTCAACAACATAAAAGGTGACTATACGTGGACCTCACCAGATGGAATAAACTGGAATCAAACCAAGCACATCTCTGGAAAGAGACGACAGAGAAGCTCAATGCCAGTCAGAACAAGGCCAGGGGTAGACGGTGGAACACATCCTCAGTTGCTCCTATGCAAGTTCAAGTTGAAGCTGGGAGAATTGAAACAAGTCCACAAGAGCCAAAGGACAACTTTGAGTATCTCCTAACTGAATTTAGAGACCATTCAAAAACAGGTTGGACTCACTGAACACAAACGACCGGAGACCAGAAATGTTGTGGGATGACATCAAGAATATCATACGTGAAGAAAACAAACAGTCATTAAAAAGACAGGAATGAAAGAAAAGAACAAGATGGATGCAGTTGTTGTTGTTGTGAAGTGCCGTCGAGTCGGTTCTGACCCATAGCGACCCTGTACTGAGGGTGTCAATCTTTACGGGAGTAGAAAGCCTCATCTTTCTCCCGCGGAGCGGCTGGTAGTTTCGAACCGCTGACCTTAAGGTTCACAGCCCAATTCGTAACCACTACGCTACCAAGATGGATGCAGAAGAGACTAAAATTTACTGGTGAACATGAAGTAGCTAAAGTGATTGGAAGAGATGGGTCAGTGAAACTGAATAGAAATTCCAAAGGGCAACTTGAAAAGGCAGAGTAGATGTATTATAATGAAATGTGCAAAGATCTGGAGTAGAAAGTGAAAGTGAAATACACATTTGATATTTCTTAAGCTTATAGAACTGAAAAAAAAAAAATTGAGTTGCAATATTGAAAGATTCTGCTATCAAGAACCAATGGTACTGAAGAAATCCTGGCTGCCCTCAAGGCTTTGGCACACAACAAGGCTGTCATTGATGGGAAATGGGAAATGAAATGTTTCAATAAATGGATACAATACTGGTAAGGCTCACTCCCCTCTGCCAACAAACGTGGAAGATAGTTACCGGCCAACTGACTGGGAGAGATCTATATTTGTGCCCAAGAAAGATAATCCAACAGAATACAGACATTAAATAACAATATCATAATATTACATAATATCAATATTTCAGCAAGTGAAAATTTACTGACAATAATGCAAAAATGGTTGCAGCAGTGTATCAACAGGTAACTGCCAGAAATTCAAACTGGATTCAGAAGAGGCTGTGGAACGAGCGATATCATTGCCGACGTCAGATGGATCTTGGCTGAAAGCAGAGAATACCAGAAAGATGTTTACCTGTGCTTTATTGACTACACAAAGACTTTCAATGGTGTGGATCATGACAAGCTATGGACAACATTGTGAAGTATGACTTAATTGTGTTCATGAGGATTCTGTACATGGACCAAGAGGCAGTTGTTCAAACAGAACAAAGGGATACTCTGTGGTTTAAAATCAGGAAAAGGATGTGGGGTCCTTTCACCAGACTTACTCATTCCTTATGCTGAGCAAAGAATCAGTCTGAACTGTTTGAGGAAGAAGGGGATATCAGGAATCCAGGAAGACTCATTAACAATCTGTGGTGTGCAGATGATACAACGTTGCTTATGAGAACAAGGAGGAGCTGGAATACTTACTGATGAAGATCTAAGACAACAGACTTCAGTGCGCATTGCACGTCAACATAAATAAAACAAAGTCATCACCACTAGACCAATAAACAACATCACTATGCATGGAGAAAAGATTGAAGTTGTCAAGG